TCCCACGCACGCAGCATAACCGGGCACTCCACAGCTTTTGATGCCCTCGGCATCCATCCCAGCACGAACAGCACCACTCAGCTGGGCCGACGCTCGCTGCAGCAACATGCTCCGCTCTTATCGCTCCAGATCTACACGGACAATTACACACACGCTCGCAGGGCCCCTGCCGCCAGGGAAATGACAGCGGCAGCTTAGCTAGCTCTGCCGCAGAGGGAGCGGGGACAGGCACGACGATGGCCACAGCTCAGCGAGGCTGTGCAAGGGACCGGCTGTATTTAACCATGCCGGGATTCGGGTATTAACTGGGGGGTAAGGAACAGGGCTACACTTCAAAGACAGCCCACAGCCTGCAGGCAAGAGCAGCTTGCTGGAAATCAGCTTTGGGACTGAGCAGGGCAGAGAAAGAGGACGGGCACTAAACCCCATCTCTCTCACAAAGGAAAGGCCACGGGGCTTTTACATCTGCTGCCAGTCACCAGGGAGACATGACAAATGGCACAGGCGCCCCAATCAAGCTTTCAGCCCCAGTAATTCAGTTCATCGATAGGTACTTTCCCATGAATAAAGATGCTGCAAATCACCCTCCCGCCAAGCCATCCCCACCATCACCAGGCTCCTGCCCAGACCGACCGCGGAGGAAGACCTTGCGGCTCTGAGTGTAGTTAACTGATAAAACTGCTGCACGGGGGATGCTGGAGGTGCAACCTGCTTCCAGAGAGATCAGACAAATCCCACAGGATGGCGCATCGACCCTATCACATCTGATGGTGCAGTCACCGCTGGTTCAGCTTCGCAGAGTCCTGCCCTCCTGCCCCAGGCACCTGCTCCTGGCTGGGAAACCGGGCACTTGGCAAACCCCAAACCTTTGCTGTGGATCAGCACAACCATCCTCACACCTCCTTCCATCACTGGGACCACCTAACAGGCACCAACACCCCCCAAACACCACAGCTACCGGCAAAGCCGAGAAGCAGAGACATCCCCAGCAACAGCTTGGACCACTCCGGCTGCAGCACTTACATTGATGAGGGCCATGATCCAGAAGGCGTAGGAGACGCGCGTGACCACCATGCCTTTCATCGGCAGGTCATAATGAGACAGGTTGCCTGGATGGTGCGGGACCAGGGACTTGCGGATGTGAGGGAGGTTGCTGGAGGCGTTGGCCGTGGAGTTCGAGAGGATGCAGTTGGTGTCCGAGAGGAAGGGGTCAGCTATCAACGGGCTTAGCAGCGCTCCAAAGCCCACGAAGAAATGAAGGGCCTGCAAGAGTGAGATGTGCAAGTAGAGCAGGGAGGTTTACTGCTCTTCTCTGCAGGGAGGCTGGCCAAGCCCCTCACTCCTCTTCCTCAGAGGAAGAGGCACAGCCAGAGGGGAGACGCGGCTCCGTGCTCACCTGCAGAAAGATGGCCGAGTCCTTCTGGTAGATCTTCACCAGCTGCATGTTGGAGATGGTGTCGATGCAACCCATGGCCAGTCCTGCCACAGCCATGACCACAGCCAGGACCACCACATTGTGGCACAGAGGGATGATGGCAAAGACCAAGGAGATCGCCAGTGACGAAGCGAAGAGCGCAAACAAGGACTGAGCCAACCTGAGACAGGGAACG